CCTCCGTTTATAGCCTATGAAAAAAAAACTATTAGAAAACGAAGGCTAAAGCTAACGTTAGCAGATAGTGACAATGTATGCTAGTTAGCCAGCTCAACGATAATATTGCGACAGAAAAACGTTTCAGTGCACATCACGCTCTGCAGCTCCGACAGGGAGCTCTGCTCTGAACACCTGAACAGCCCGTTCTAACAGCTGTTCACCAGCGGTCCAGTCTGTACCACAGTGACTCCGGACCGCACAGTTAATATTAACGAACGCACCCGTAGGTAATGTGGCTGCTGAAGCTAGACCATCATCGCGGAGCAGCAGAGCCGACAGGCAGGAAGACTCGAGCACACAGCTCGCGCTGCATTATAATATATATAAAAAAAAACACCATGCGTGTCATGATGGCACATAACAGCTCGCGGCCGCAGATTACTCCGGGTCCCAGACCCCAAACATATTTGTATTGCAGATCTACATGAATCACACAAACGACCTATTTTGGATTCAAAACGGCGAATTTCGCCGAAAGGTGAGTGATTTTCATGCCTGGATCAAGGATTATTTCTGAAACAGTATGGAGCTCAAAGGCTTTCTCTCTTGCCGGTTATACCACAAGGTGAGTTCCTTTTTATTTCCTGCTTCTTCACACACATGCTCTCCAGTACAGGTTAGCTCTGAGTGTTAGCGATGCTAATGTAAACACCGACCATATTACGTCCAAAACAGTCGGGCATTGTTTCTGATAGCAACGTTTCTGATAGTGCTGTGAGTCCGCCGCCGATTTGTCGTCATATCGGTGGCACATCTGGATCAGCTCCGTTGTAGCGCCGTTTTTAGAGATTTGGGTACGGAGGAAAAGAGAGAGGGTTTTATTTTCTGACGCTGCGTGAGTTCCCTGACACACCGGGGACACATAGTTATGTGTAAAAGACATCAAAAAGTGCATTTTGCATGATAGGTCCCCTTTAAACAACCACAGTCAACTGGCCCAGCTTAGCAGCACAATGATGCAGTCAGAGATGTCTCACCTCAGGCCATGGACACTTTGGCCCCAGATGTCCTGGGTGTCAGACGGAGACATGTGCATGTCCAAGTTGCAGACGTTGGGCTTCTGAGGGTAGGTCTTTAGACACTGTCTGATCCAGAAGGGCTGGGAGCCCCGCAGGAACGGGTTTGAGATAAAGATGAACCCTGAACACAGCAGTAGAGCACTGGGTTATACAAACTGAAAAAAAATGAACCCAGTATTATTTATTTGGTTTTACTGGAGCACTGTGGTGGGAGACACACTGATGTACAGAACAATACACTACTAAACGATTCTCTAACATATAAGGTACTAATTTAAACGAAAAACCTGAATAAAGAAGTGGAGAAACCAGGAGCGTTGTTTGTTTTTTTCACTATAAAAGGGTCGAAATGTGCAGAAACTATTGTCTAAGCAGAAATTTAGATTTATAACAAAAGCTTTAAGTGGAAAAGTGCTGAAAATATGCATTTCAACAATTTATTTTGTTTCAACAGTGGAGATTGGTTTGTTTAAGGCAAAGCTAAGCTAATATTGTAGGTGCTTCATTAACACTTGAAATAATATCATGTGACATTGTGAAATGTGAAATACCAAAAATAGTCCATGCTTTATAAACATAAATTGATATACATATATTTACTTCGACTCTCTGTATAAATCTGAAGGATTTTAGATCTTCCGGTAGCTAGCAGATGGTCAAGTTGAAAATGTGCACGAATATGCACATTTCATTTATTTGACCGTGTTTTTTGTTTGCATTGCCTTTATATGCGATTGAGTATGTGCATTTAATGTATAGCACTTTTTTCCCAGTGTATGTACGTATATTACTTCATTAACATACGCAAACATTCAGTGTGGATTATACACAGAGTTTTAGAAATTTGGCCCCTGATCTCAACCTAACCAAAACCCTATTGGAGGTCCTGGAGCAACGTGTTGGAATATGCTGTCCACCAATGTCCTTAGCAACATAATAAGTATGGGCGTATATTTTGGGATGTTGCGGATCACCTTTCTTGCAGACTTGAAGAATATATGGCAAGGAGCTCTTGTGATGAGTTAAAATGTGTATATTCAAGCCAGAAACGCGCTTGACACTTTCTTGTGTGAGCCAATCAGCGTTGAGATTCTTCTCATGTTGTCACTCACGTGCTGACCTTGTTGTCAGCAATAACAACAAATCAGCTGTTGGACCCAGAGCCTTATAGTACCTCATATTTGTACAGAAACTGGACAAAGTTTGTTGTTGTCCAATGTATGTGTACAAATCATAAAGGCTCTATGGCGTGACAAATAAAGATGCTGCTTTATTTATGTATAATATGAAACTATTTTGAAAGATAACAGAGCAGCTACAATGGTAGCTAACTAATCAATCCAATCTCCATTCAGAAAGTAGCTTTGCCTGCCTTCTTGAAGACATTTTATCAAAGCATTTATACAGGGTTTTCATCATTGTTGATACGTATATTGCAATTAAATCATACCACATTAGTAAACAAGACCGGTTCAGCCGACTTGTGAATTGATAGAGAAAACGTTGTTGTTATCTACATGGAGAAAAGCCTTGGCAGCGAGTTTAGTTGAGGTCACAAATGAGGTCAAACGTTCTTGAGGATTGCAAGGCAAATAATTGCTTAGCATCTGTTACTTAATAAACTGGATTCATCACTTCTCTTTGACGCAGCAACACACAACAGCATGTGCTCTCTCTCTACATGTGAAACAACTGATAAAGACTCTTGGCCCTTAGAAAAAGGCACCAAGTGAATACAGGCCCTAAATGTTGCATTTGTTATTGATTAATAAAATAGTGAAATGAATGTTGGCTCAGAGGTATGTCTTATGTCTAAGCTTGGTGTTTGACCTGTCCTATCTGCGTTACCTGGGTAGCCCTGCAGGCCAAAGGTCCTCCAGGATTTGACCGGCTGTAATCCAGCCCTGGCAGCGTCGCTGTCACTCACTGCAGAAAGGTCCAGTACGGCTGGAACTATCTATACACACACACACACACACACACACACACACACACACACACACACACACACACACACACACACACACACACACACACACACCACACACACACACACACACAACACACACACACACACACACACACACACACACACACACACACACCACACACACACACACACACACACACCACACACACACACACACACACACACACACACACACACACACACACACACACACACACACACACACACACACACACACACACACACACACCCACACACACACACACACACACACACACACACACACACACACAACACACACCACACACACACACACACACACACACACACACACACACACACCACACACACACACACACACACACACACACACCTCAGTCCTTCTCAAGCCAAAGTGTTGTTATGTTCTATATTTCAAAGTCTTCTATGTGAGACTCAACCAGAGAGATACGAGCCCCGACATCTGATGCAAGCCAAAAAACTGTATTGCCACACATTCATTATTTCCAAAACCCAAAATATGGCAGAGTCTGTGTCAGGGAAGTACATTGAATTATCTTTTGCTCTTATTGAAGCTTTACAGTGGTGTTGCGACTGCTATTGCGTAGGTAAAACACACATACAGTCTATCTTAGTTCGGTGACACTATCTTAACTCTATAGTTGTCTTTTCTAAATGCATTGCATTTTCATTTGAATCAACTGACAAATATGCAATCAACCATGAACACATGTATTCTGAAAAATCTGAAATGGTTTTGAATTGTAAGCATATCCTGGCTTATATCTCTGTATTTTATTTTAAGTAAAGTAGATGTTTATTAAAGATTGGATTAATATTGAAAACCCACTTTTTAAAAGGAATAATAATAATCAGCTCAAAATTCCACTATATCGCTCATTTCACACAAACTTTTTGCAAGTTGCGATCAATATTTGTATATATAAATGAAATAAACATAAAGTATATAGGCTACACATTGATAGGAAAGGGGTCCTTTAAAAAAAGGTGTGCTAACACTGGCTAAAGCAGCTAGGCGAGGGATCACTGAAGAAACACTGGTAGTTCCAAAGAGTGAAGTTATAGTAAAGCATACAACTTATTCAGCAATGGCTCATAAATTGAATTTTGCTAACAGTATTATGAATCTGTATTTTACGGATGTACAAAGCAGTGTGTCTGCAACCAGCTTCTCCTTTGTTGAGTCAACAGGGTATTTTTATGGTGGAGCTTTACTACTTTTACTAAGTAAAGGGTGTGAGAAGGTTTAGGGGGCTCTCAAACGAGAATATAATCTAAAGGGAATGACTCACAATTATGAATATGTGTTATGGTTCAGGATTTTACTGTATTCATTGTTTTTTTACATTACATAATATGGTTAAGGACGGTGGCTGTTTCCTCATACATAGTGCATTGGCAATTCTTGGTTTGGAAATGGTCATGCCCATAAATTGATGTTTCACCAGGAGCCAAATGGTCTAGTGTTCTCCTCTACAGACCTAGAGGAGTAAAGCTCGGTAAAAACTGGGTAAAGCAGATTCACTTTTAAAATCACTGTTTTCCCGGTGTTCATCTTTTAAAAACAAACAGTGATAAAAAACACCAAGATCTAATCGTGTTGGACTAAATTGACTTTATCCTGGATTCAAGGTCAATTTATGACAGCTTCTGACAGTCAGCCATAACATTGACGCATGCGCAAGAAGGCACCATTACCAGACCAGATTAAACGCGTAATAAAGATTCCTCTTTGAAAATTGGGATAATATAACCACACAGCTGGACAACATATATCACACGTGTAGACGGTTTTAAACACATGAGTGCGGCCATGTTACATATCATCCTTCCTCAGTCCTCACCTTGTCACTGGGTAAGCCTTTGGAAAAGTCAGTGACATCGCTGAAGTCGGGCGGCGGGCTTTTTCTTTTGTAAAACTTGAATACTTTTTTAAATGCGTCTTCTCCACGCACCACAGAGGAGGCTGCCATCTTGGCTGTGACGTAGATGAACTTTCACCTCAGACGTCACTTACGGAGCTTTCCGACAGAAACAACATGGCGGCGCCCTCTAAGAAAGTGTTCGAGATCTTCGTGAATAAAATACCATGGACCCTAGCTACCAGTAAGCATATTCAATTTGTCTAATAATTATACATGAGTAGTCGTAGATAGTTATGCATGTGTAGCCACTCACGTGACTCCGAACATGGTTCTATACTGTGGTTTGGTGAGGCTCGCAGACAGCATGAGCTCCAACATGCTAACACCAGGGCCTGTCTGCAGTCCAAGCTTGGCTTTTTCATGCTATTGGCATCTTATAAAACAGTCATGCAGTTTACCAGAGCGGAGAATAATTCATATTTTGCACTTGAGTAAAAGTAGAAGTACCAGAGAGAAGGAATACTATGTTACAGTAAAAGTCCTGAATTCAAAATGTTACTCAAGTAAAGCACACAAGTATTATCATCAAAATATCCTTTAAGTACCAAAAATAAAAGTAGTAATTGTGCAGATTGGTCAATTTCAGAATAATATATATGATATATTTGTATCATTATTGATTATTAAAGTGTTCTCAAAGCTGGTAAAGGTGCAGCTAGTTTTAATGACTTTGTATACTGCAGGGTAGCTGGTGGATTTACTCCAGGTGGAACTAAAGTCTGATTTAAGACTTGATTATATTTAACATCATTAATCAAATCTGTAAAGTCGCTAGTAAAGGTATTATCAGGAATGCAAACATGTATGGTGAAAAAAGAGAAATATTCCAAGGAGAAAAAAACAGCGTAATATACCATCTGACAAAGGCCTGTGCTATAATGCTTCAATTAACTGGCTATTCTTTATAATATACTCATATCAATAGGAGACAGAGATGTTAAGTTATAAATCAAGGGTTTTTATCATTTACAGCAGGGGTGGAGAACCTTTTTCCTCTCAAGGGCCATTTCAAATTGTACAACATCCTCCGAGGGTCGTACAAATGATTGAACTCAACCTCTGCTTAAAAAAACTAAAATCACAGCCCATTCATTTAGCCTTTCTTTCATGCTGTGCAAAGAAAAAGCAACCTCTTAAACAGATCGACACTGGGCTTACAACTAAAGACAAACTGCGGCATGTGTACGGCTCCTTATCTTTATTATACATCCATGCTCCTTACGGCCCCTACACACGGCGGCGTGCGTTACCGCTTGGGGATTTTTTACGACCAACAACCAATCACATGAATGTCCCGCCCCGGACATACAAAGCAAAGCATTCATGCTACATCCATGCTGTCTAAATATACTGTCTATGCTTGCTAGCTGTCCATTCAAACGAAGTACACTGGATATAAACTCCCCAAACAGGCGAAAACCTACCAGTTTCACCCACTGTCTCTGCCACCTCCCCCCATGCCTGGATCCTCCGGTTTGTATCCCTGTATGTAAAGAGGGACTGGTCATATAGTACCGGGTGATTCCCTACCGCCACGATCATTTTCTCCTCCATTTTTTGACATATGGGAAATAACTGCGGTCTGGCTCTCCCAGCATACACGCGGTTTGATTGGCTAGCGCTTGTAATGTTGGATTTGCATACGCAGGATTTGATTGGCTGACGCCTCCGTCGAGGCGGCAAAAGTATAACATTGCTCTACTTTTGCAGCGAGCACCGCGAGAGAAGCTACGCTTTGCTCCCACAATGCAGTTCGGCGAATCGTGACGTCACCCCATTCAAAGTGAATGGGCAGAAGCGTTGAAGCGGCAACGCACGCCGCCGTGTGTAGGCTCCGTTACGGTGTGTCCACACAGCAGCTTTGACCAAATCTTGAAAATCCTGGAGCTGGGCGTGTCTGACAGCTTGGGGATTTCTCGACCAACAACCAATCACATGAATATCACATGAATATCCCGCCCCCGACATACAAAGCAAAAAAACCCGGTTCTTCTACACTATTGTCAAATAGGAAGGGCTATGATGAACATTTATTTTTTTAACATTTTGAACATTTATGAGATTAATGTTTATGGTGCTATTTTATGCTACATTCCATGCTGGCTAATGATACTGTCTATGCTTGCTAGCAACGAAGTAAACTAGCAACGAAGTAAACTGGATATAAAATCCCCAAACAAGCGAAAACCTACCAGTTTCACCCACTGTCTCTGCCACCTCCCTCCATGCCTGGTTCCTCCGGTTTGTATCCCGGTAAGTAAATAGGGACTGGTCATAAAGAACCGGGTGATTTGCTACCGCAATAACTAACTTCTCCTCCATTTTTGTTAGGAATATAGAATGAACTGCGGTCTCGTTCTCCCAGCTTGCACGCGGTTTGATTGGCTAGCACTTGAACTGTCAGATTTGCATAAACGGATCTGATTGGCTGTCGCTTCCAGCTCAGCCTCAAAAGTTGAACATTGTTCAACTTTGGAATCCTGAACATCCTGGAAATCTTCGCCTCGCCCCCCCACAATGCAGTTCGGCGACAAGCGAGGGAAAGTGACGTCATCCCCATTCAAAGTCAATGGGCGGAGACGCGCTGGAAGCGGTGGACAAATCGCCAAAAAGCTGCTGTGTGTACGGGCCGTTATGGGTACTGCAATATTTGCTGGAGCGGGGTTCCGTTGCTCTCCGTCAGCACTACACCACGTGATGACACGTTACGCTCGTGTTGTGTTCAAGGAACCTGTCCTTGGCCAGGAAAAACAGGCACTAGCTGGTTTAATTATTTTGCGGTCTAGATTTCTTAAGCATTTTTTGAAGTCCGTCAGTCCGTGAGTCGGACCCCCCCACCCTCCCCCAAAATGAAAACTCTTCGGTTCTCCACGAATTACACAAGTCACCCAAATCAGCGTTAAAAAAGCAGGAGGCGCCAAAAAGCGAATAATTTGCATGTATTATATATATATAAATAAATTACAAAAAACGTAGTTGAGTAAAAGTAAACCGTTTACCTCTCAATTGGAGTAGAGGTATAAAGTAACATTAAATGGAAATACTCAAGTAAAGTGTAATTATGTGAAAGAATATACTAAGTACAATACTTGAGTAAATGTACTTAGTTACTTTCCACCACTGCACTTTACTAATTACACCTAGATAAAACCAGTCCAATACAGTTTATATAACAATGCTGCCATAAACCCCACATTATAAAAGCTTCTAATGTTGGTTTTGTGGAAATTGTTTTCGAGAGGTGTTGATCAAAGATAACTCTGTAGATGGTGTTGCTGTGAACTTTATTGTTTAATACTACAGCTGCATCCTCCAAAACTATAACCTCAGTAATCGAGACTTCTCTAAGACCCTAGCCACACGGAGACGGTAACGAAAACTAACCGAAGTCGATATCAAAAAAGTCTTCCGTCCACACGCAATCGGCACCAAAAACATGTCCGTCCACACGAGACCGCTCAACACGCTGGAGACACTGTAGTACATATGCCGCTGTACTTCCGCCCAAAATACACCAAAAGCAGTGAAGAAGACTTCACGAGCATGCATGGTTTCCATGGTTGCCCTTCTGTTTATTTTCCGCGGTGGATTTAGCAGCAGAGGTGGGGAGAGGCAGGGGCCAGGGCTCTGGCTCTTTTCTCCCTCCCTGAGGCAAGCGTGTGCTCCTGCTGTAAATCTCCCCGGTAGTCCACCAGGACGAGGAAACCGTGCGGCAGAGTTTCCGTTCGAATTTTTTTCCGCCGGTCAACATGTCCGTTGGGCCTTTGGGCTATGTTGTTTGATTTAATTAAATACAATATATGCACTCCACTATGCTGTTGTAGTATTTACTGTATCCAAAGCTCTTAATATGATTGCTCATATTTCAAGCCATCTTTTTTCCGGCCCCTTGCTTTGGATCATTTTCATCAACCGGCCCCATTCCAAACTAATTGAATTAATTGGAATTAATTAATTTAATAATAATAATAATAATTCCTTACATTTATTATAGCGCTTTTCCAGATGCTCAAAGCGCTTTACAAATACACATTACACATGTTTTTTTTTATACATGCAATGGTCACTGTGGACAATACCCACAGGAGCAAGTTCAGGTGAAGTGTCTTGCCCAAGGACACAACGGCTTTACAGACGCAGCAGCGGCGGGTTTCACCCCTTGATCTGATGATCATTGCACAGCGCACTGCGCCACACCGTCCAAATATAATTGGTCTATATCAGGGGTGGGGAACCTCTGGCCCCCGGGCCGTATACGGCCCGCGAGACCATTTGGTGTGGCCCTCGAGGTAATTTATAAACACACGCAAAAAAGAAAAAAATTAAAGAAATCTAGACCGCAAAATAATTAAACAAGTAAGTGCCTGTTTTTCCTGGCCAAGGTCAGGTCCTTGAACACAACACAAGCCTAACGTGTCATCACGTGGTATATGTCTCGTCTGACAGGGGTGTAGTTCTGACCGAGAGCACCAGAACGCAGCTCCACTCCAGCACTTCCAAAAATTGCAGTACCCATAAGGAGCCGTACACATGCTGCAGTTTTTGCGTGGCTGTGTCTTAGTTGTAAGCCCAGTGGCGATCTGTCATACTGATCATACAGTCAATAACGTTGTTGTTATTAGCATCTGGTTAGCTAGCTATGCTAACGAATATAAGAAGCTTTTTCTCCAACCAGTGAGGTAAAGGCACATCTTTATATGATCATTATAGTTATAAAACAAATAAGAGATTAAAGTAAACAGGTATAAAATGCTATATGACAGTAACAAAATATTGTTATTAATAAACAAGAATACAGTTTGAAAGGGGAGTGATTTGTAAAATATCCATAAAGAAAAAGAAAATCTGCTTCCAGTTCTGTTTCATAGGGGTGTTGAGAGATGTATCCATAGATCTACTAATGTTGCTCTCAAAGTGCACCAGATTGATGCTTTGAACTTCAACATTTAAAAACAAATCTTCCCGGGGGAGCATGCCCCCCGGACCCCCCTAGAGAAGGTTAGGTCCCCCCCACTTAAATCATGTCCACATGGATAGGAGTCTAAATACATTTGCACACATCTTGTGTCCATATCTTTCTGTTTGGGTGGTCATGCCACAACTCTGCACGTGCATGCATGCGTGAGTCATGGCAAGATATCTGGATTAAGAGGTTGCTTTTTCTTTGCACAGCATGAAAGAAAGGTGAAATGAGTGGGCTGTGATTTTAGTATTTTTAAGCAGAGGTCAATCATTTGTACGGCCCTCGGAGGATGTTGAAAACATTGAAATGGCCCTTGAGAGGAAAAAGGTTCCCCACCTCTGGTCTATATGATAGAGAACTGTAGCGGATACGACCCGTATCGTCTCCGTGTGGCTGCAGCCTAAATCAGTTTCAGCAACACGGTGTTATTAATTAAGGCTCCAGTTAGTGCAGGATTGTTATATCAGACTACAGTAGTTTAAGCTAGGTGTGCTTGAAAAACTGACCCTGATAAAAAAAAAAAAACTACAAATGACACTCTTCAATAATACTGTAGCATTCTTTGTGGTTCAAGCCTCAAGACATGATTTGTTAAATTAAAGGTTTTTGTGATTTGCTGAAAACATGAGATGTTCCTTATTATTTTTCAGAGGAGATGAAGGAGTACTTTGCACAGTTTGGTCATGTGAAGAAGTGTCTGCTTCCATTTGTAAGTTCCACAGCATTAGAATGTACTATTTACTGTTAATATATTGATTGGGTCTATCCATCTCTTTCATATTCCAGCTTCACCCCTTTTCACTCTACTACCAATTAGTTGATTGCTCATGCTGCACATTAGTTGTTTCTAATTTCTGTATATCCATATGCAACTGTGATTCTGTTTGCAGCATTGGTTGTAAGCAGCTTTGTTTTGGTTGTAGACTTGTAGTTTGCAATGACAAAATAGATGAATGTAACTACAGACAACTTCTTGAAATGGTATTACTGAAGAAAACCATGTGTTACAAATGAACATTTTTCCTATCCATTTATTACTATTCAAATGTAGACATATTAGATGTTTAAATGTTAAGTCTTTACAGGCAGCCATGAGTTTAATAACTTCTTCAGTATGCTTTTCAAAATGCAGAGAGAGTTACCCATCCCACAGATCAACATGTTTGGTTTCATTCTGAGCATCCCTGCAATTTCTTACTGGATTGCGTGTGTTTCACCAGGATAAAGAAACAGGGTTCCACAAAGGCTTCTGTTGGGTTGGATTCACGACAGAGGAAGGACTGAACAATGCACTTCAGAAAGACTCTCACACGCTGGAGGGAGCAAAGGTACCTTTAAAACATCTTTATCATCAAGTAATGGGGATGTTAAAGTCTTCCTTAATGGAGTGTTGCAGTAATGATAGATTTTCCTAGTCCAACCCAGAAGTTAACATGGCAAGGGCTCCCTCGACAAATAACTAGGGATCTTTCCATTGGATTTAGAATTATTGCAGAAAATAAGACCATGTATGAACACCACTTTATGATTTTTGCAACAAAATTATTAGGCTATAAACAAACTACTTCAGTCATGTCTGCGCATCACCACAGCTAAACTAAATATCACTATCGTCATGCGTGATGACCAGGGTAGGAATTTCACGGCGGCCATGGCCGTCGTTGCCCCTCGGTCTGGCCGTCATACCCAACAAATAATTGTGTGTCCTACGTAGGGTTGGGTATCGTTTGAATTTCCACGATTCTGATTCCGATTCTACTTTTCGATTCCGGTTCTTAACGGTTCTCAATTCCGATTCTTTGAGGGGCAGGGTAAAAAAATGATACATGCTTCTTCCACCAAAAAAATTACATTTATTCGAGAAACTTTTACACAGGTTAGTTTACAGTAATATTCACATTAATCAGCCTGTTTATATTCACTGCTATGTAACTGTAACCTGAGAACCACTGAAGCTACAACAGTGCAACAGTCCAACTTTTAAAGGAAACCCCCCCCCCCCCCCCCCCCCATTTGAAAAACAAGCATATTCTCAGGCATACTGGGAAGAAATGTTTGAACATTTTAAGGTAAAATGCTTCAATCTGGTGCACTTTAAGCAGAATGACTAGAGACTAGATCTAGGGGGTACAACTCTAAACACCCATATGAAGAAGATCGGTTTACATTTTAATAATTAAATAAGTATGTGAACATAACCAATAACCTACCATAGCCAATAACAAATACATGTAACGTATTTTATTTTTGTTGTTCATTCATATCTTATTTTACTATTTTATTTATGCATATTTTTGTATCTCTCCAGTTTAAAACGATATGTCTGGTTTACTGTCCTATAGTATACATTGGAATGATTTCAAACCTGTTTTATCCCAATAATTATAAAGGAGTGCCTTGGAAATATGTGTTTACATAAATTGTGATCAAACCGTTTGAGACCCACTGAGATAACTTAGACTAAAGTGAACTATCTAAACACTCAGAGTCCTTTACCTCACTGAGCTGTAGTTATCAGCCTCTCAGTTTGACTGGAGAGGACTCTCCCTCCACATCATTGTAGAAACATCTTCTTCTTCCGTTAGAGCAGCTAGCACCAGATGCTAATAACAACAGCGCGTACCGGTCCCTTTCTCCCTCGCTCTCTCCCACGTTCACTCTCACTTTGGCTGTGAGCTGCAGGTGCCAGATAAACCAACATCCCCCATTTTCATCACTTACAGCGCCCATCGTACAGGGCAAATGAAAAGTGTAACTGGGATGAAAAGGGTGTTACATTTACTTAATTATGAATGTTGTTACATCAAGGCCGAAAATTAGGATGAGCACCAACGGTCAAAACATTTTTTTTTTCTCCCAGAGCTGTCAGCGCAGCGCCTCCCCAGATCTGGCGCCTCCACAGATCTGGCACCCTAGGTGAACATCTATAACGCCAGTGCGACGGGCCGGCCCTGGTCTCAGGTTACGCTGTAGGAAGTGTAGGTACAACCATATATATATATATATATATATATGATATAAACACGTGTTTATATCATGGTTTATATATATCTATGGGTACAACGCTACATTTCCCGCCCCGCCGCAGTCATACAGTAGGCTACGGAGAGCGGCGAGAAACATTTCCTCAGGCATCGAAAAGCGGAACCGAAATTCACATGTCTAAATGATGCCGTTGGAATCGAAATGTTGGAACAGGTTCCGAACCGGAACCGGTTCTCGGTACCCAACCCTAGTCCTACGGCCACCATGGCCTTTGTGCCCCTCACACTGTTAAGATCTCGAAGTTGCTTCAAAAGCGTCAGAGCAGTGGTCTGGTCTCTGAACTGCATTATGCTGCGTTCACAATATTCTCACCGCGGCTGTCAGCTGTGTTTACTCCTGTCATTCAAACAGGACGCGCTGGAAAGGGGGCGGGGCTTATATCCATGTAAATACTGTGGTAGAAACCAACTACAACAAAATTAACATATTTTACCGTGATTTAATTGTAATACACGTTTCAAAATGATGCCGAAGTAACACCATACTGATAACGGTTAGTAAAAAACATGAATTAAAGCTTTGACAAGTGTGCAGACAGACGGCAGGCGAAAAAACTTTTAAAATGGGTGTTTTCTGAATGGAGATCGGATCGATCAGGCTAAACTAAGCTGTAGCTGCTCCGTCCACACTCATAACAAAGTCATACAGACAGAAATAAAGCAGCGACTGTATTCACCATGACACAGACAGTCTGTGGTTTGTTCTCGTTTAACTTTTGTCCCGTTTCTGAATAGATATGAGGAGCTGCGAGCTCTGTGTGCTAACAGCTAACGTTTTGGTTTTCTGATTCAACGTCAATGGCTGAGATCCTCACTGCTGATTGGCTAGCGCGAGAACGCGTCACGCGAATTTGACGCTCGAGTTGAAATTTTTTATTAAAGAGACTCTCGTACACACGCACGCACGCACACACACACGCAGACACAGACTTTTGCATTTCAAAGTATTGCTTGTTCATACAGAGCTTCACTGTGCACTGCTGAATAATTTATGTGCAGAGTTTGACCCTTGAAGGCTGTTTATTCTGGTCTGAAATTGAATATATTTGTTACATTTGAATATCATTTTTTGATTTGATTTCGGATTTGTGAATGGGAGAAGTAGTAGATAGAAAACATACCAAACACTAATGTTTTCAAAGTAGAGTCTTTCATTTTATATACGATAATACTAAGGAGGCATAGGCCTATATGATGATATAATGGCCTTTGTGCCTTAAAACAATGTGTGACACCAAAGGCCAAATGGCCTTGCCCCTAAAATGATGAAATTCCAAGCCTGGTGATGACATTTAGTAGTCTCATTCAGTCACTTGTTAGAAACTGGCATTTTTACAAGATTTAGCAGCTTCAGACATTCACCAGTGGGGGATTTACTGACATATTTAAGCTTGTGTTAACCACAGAACTTATTTCATGCTTCTTAACAAACATATTCAAATAAATTGACTTCAAGACAAGGGAACCAGAATTGGTAAATTGCTGACTCATTACTTTATGACTATTTTTTTCAAAACATTTTCTGAATCAAAATATTTTGAATGCATAATATAATGATGGATTCTCCTGTTTGTTTTCAGCTCCAGGTTCAGAAGAACATACGTAATTTTGAAGGGCCCAGGTCAAGCAAAGACGCTGAATATGACTGAAGCTGTGATACTGTGGTGTCGATGACCCTCCAGCCATCATTCATTGTTTGTTCCTGCTCCCTCAGCTGCTGGATCATTATACTTTTTCCTTTGTTCCTCGGCTCAGTGAATTTAATAATAATAATAATAATGGTCAAGCCCAAGCTTGACCATTATTGAAATTGTTTATGAACTCATCCAGTAATAATGTCATTATTATTTGTAGCAAGAGAATATACTTTTAACATTAATCAATTATTATTATTACATTTATTTCAGTGTATGACAATAAAACAGTGTTTGAAACCTTACATTCTTGTAATTTATGTATGTAATACCCACTTACTACTTTTACGCCAGTAAAAGTTCTGAGTTCTTTCAACATGTTCATACATGTTGAAAGAACTCAGAACTACTAAAGTAGTATATGGAAGGTCAATGATGTCTCACAAAGGATCGTAGCTTACATGAGTAATTTAAATGTTTGGGCACCAGGGGGCGAAATACTCCTGCCGCAGGAGTTAGTACAAATAAAACCAAATACAAATATAAATGGTCAGTAAGGCTCAAAACTAAAGACCTTTCCCTTTATCTAATTTCCATCTCCTGGACTCCTCCGGTAGTGACCCGGAAATAGATTTCAGTGTACCATGTTGAACGAAATCCCATATAGATATATCCAGTCTCTGATAGTGTTATGTTATTATGAGAATGCTCTAATACTACTTTGATTCTAAAATGGTATATATATATATATTTATATAAATATATATGTGTGTATATGTCCGCATCTGTAGCCTGTTGTCTCATTATACCGCACTGTCAATTCATTACAAGTTAATAAGTTGTCATGAACACATCTGTCCATCAGACAGAGGGCTGCTGTGCCTCCTGTCATCATTAATGGACGTCTCTTTAAAATGACCGCTCAGCGGAGAGGAGTTCTCATTTCTCTAACAGCCTGCTGCTTCCCCTCCTCTCTCCTCGGCTCCCCTCGTGGAGGGGAAATTATATAAATGGGAAAGGTCTTGAATGTACACTCAGTCTCATCATCCTGGGGGATGATGAGACTTGGTGAGGTCTTTGCTCAGACTGTAGAGTCAGCCTCTGTGTCTCTATCTGATCATATTGAGTAAACAAAACCTGAAAGAATGTAATTACCTGTCTCAGAATAGGACACACTCACACACATGATTCAATCACTCCACATAATCCATTGGACTATGCACGCATTGTTTGTTATAAACTGGATAATGTCAGAAATGTACTAATAGACTGCAGGGATAAGGTAATTAATGTCCTGATTAATTGATTAAAAACGCAGTGTTAGGCCACATTTGGGAATTTGCTAGACAAGACAGTAAATTAATTTAATGAATATATCACAGCAACCAAAATACAAGTTCAAATGTACTTGAACTAAAATGTACTTTAAAATGATTATTATTAATGAATTGCTCTCTTTTCATTGTGTTCTGCCAATCTACTACTGCACGCTCCGGAAGGTGGCGGCAACGCACCGAATCATTGTTTGCCAATCTGTAAGAAGAAGAAGAAGTAGATGTTCAGTGTTTATCAGTTGTCACTGGCTGCGTTTCACTTCGGTTAAATGGATTCCTTGCGTCCCTCACTTGCGTCGTTTCCCTGCGACTAGTCCCTCCCACCAGGGAAGCATGGAGAGACGCAAGGAAACCACAGCCTCATTCCAATACCCCTCCTCGACTCCTCTCTTCCCCTCCTCCGGGACTTGACCCGGAAATCGATCAAGACACACCATTTTGAAGGACGATGGGTACCAAGTACGTCATTTCCGGAATGCCCGCCGCCATCTATGGGCCCTTCTCACTTCTCTTATTTTTAATTTCCTCGCTCCTTGGTCTCACCTGAAGTTGATTTGTCTGCGCCATCTTGAGTAGCGTCCCAATGGCCTTATTTTTGCGGGAGGAGAGATAATGGAGGAGCTATAACCGAGGAACCACCAGACCATCCTTCGATGATATCCTCAGACACTCGCCCCACCCCCTTACTGTGTATCACTCACTGATTGGACGAGGCAGTGCATGCACTGATCTGATGCTTCTTGACATGAGAGCAGTTTCCCAGCGGAGTGAAGAAAATACATGAACCTCACAGGAGTCACTCCTCAGTTTATACCGTGTTTTGTTTCAATTAATGTATCATGTAGTTACAAATATGTGATATATCTGAACAACAAAGTGGTCAACAATCATTTTATTCATTTATTGGAAACATTTTCATGATCGCTTTTTTCGTTTTATATTTTCATTTATTTTCATTTCCATTCAGTCAGTCATTAAGTGCTATTACAATGTTAATGTGCTACATATCCACACAAACAAACAAAGTGTGCAATCCAATGAATGTTAATCTAACTGGGTTTTGATAGATAACATCTCTCTTTTTCTTCTCTCAATTATTTTATTTCTATTGTGCACTCTAATCAATATTAATCTAACTATTGTTCGTTTATACATTTTAAGAATGGCGTTTATCTTTTTTGAGAATGAGTTCTTATTTGATTTAATGTATTTGGGTCTACAACAGATGATACAAATGTTTGTGTCAGTAAATGTGTACTAACAGAGGCGGGGGTGTGTGTGGAAATAACTGGGACAGAGCTACTGTCAGATGATCAGCTGTGCAGCGTCATCACAAACGGACGTCGCTTCACATTACATTGCATTTAGCTGACGCTTTTATCCAAAGCGACTTACAATAAGTAATAATAATAATAATGCATTTTATTTATATAGTGCTTTTCACAACTCAAAGACGCTTTACAGTATGAGGGAGGGTAGACAAACAAGGACAGGCAAACAAGTAAGTAAAAAATAAAAAGGCAGTCAAGAGGAAGTTGATTGAGAGGGGGGGGGGCTTATGGGTAGACAGAGTTGAAAAGATGTGTTTTGAGGCGGGACTGAAAGACTGTGAGGGACTCAGAGTCACGGAGAACTTGGGGGAGGGAATTCCAGAGTCTAGGAGCTGCCACTGAGAAGGCTCTGTCCCCAAAGCATGCAGAGTGTGGATGTGGGAATGGATAGGAGTCCGGCTGCGGTGGATCTGAGGGACCGTGGAGGTTGATAAGGAGTGAGAAGGTTTGTGAGATAAGGGGGGGGCCAGATGGTGGAGGGCTTTGTAGGTGAGGACCAGAATTTTGTAGTTGATGCGATGGGAGACAGGAAGCCAGTGGAGGTCTTTGAGGACTGGGGTGATGTGATGCCATAATTTGGTATGCGTGAGGAGACGTGCAGCTGCATTTTGAACCCGTTGGAGTCTGTTGAGGGATGTAGTGCTGATGCCGTAAAGAAGTGAGTTGCGGTAGTCGAGGCGGGAGGAAATTAAGGCATGGATTAGTCGTTCGGCTGCGGTGCGGGTGAGAGAGGGTAGGATTTTTGCAATATTGCGGAGGTGGAAAGATGAGGTTTTGACTGTTTGGCGGATGTGAGGTTCGAGGGAGAGGGTGGGGTCAAAGATTACGCCAAGGTTGCGTGCCTGATTGGAGGGGGAAACAATGGTGCCATCGATGGTGAGAGTTGTTAGTGACCTTGCTGAGGGTGGATTTGGAGCCGATTAGGAGGAGTTCTGTTTTGTTGCTGTTCAGTTTGAGGAGGTTATGTTGCATCCAAGTTTTAATAGCTGTCAGACAGGAATCGATGTGGGTAAGGGGTGGGTCATGGAGGGATTTGGTGCTGAGGTAGATCTGAGTGTCATCAGCATAGCAGTGGAAGTCGAGGTTGAAGTGGCGGAGTATCTGACCGAGGGGGAGGATGTAAATGATGAAGAGGAGGGGGCCAAGTACTGATCCTTGAGGAACGCCTTGGGTGACTGAAGCTGTGGCAGAGGAGTGGTTTGGGAGGGAGATGAAGTGGGATCGTTCAGTGAGGTAGGACTGGAGCCATCTGAGTGCAATACCTTCAATACCAATGTCCCTGGGTCGGGTGAGCAGGATGTTGTGGCTCACGGTATCGAAGGCTGCACTCAGGTCGAGGAGGATGAGAATATTGAGGGAACCAGTGTCAGCAGAGGTGAGGAGGTCATTGAGGACTTTGACGAGTGCAGTTTCTGTACTGTGGTGAGGACGAAATCCAGACTGAAGGGGTTCATAAAGCTGGTTGGTTTGGAGATGGAAGTGAATTTGTTTGGCTACAATGCGTTCAAGAGTTTTTGAGAGGAATGGTAGGTTGGAGATAGGGCGGTAATTAGTGAGGGAGGAGGGATCAAGACCAGGTTTTTTGAGGATTGGAGTAACGGCAGCAGTTTTGAAGGCAGAGGGGACGGTTCCATAGGACAGCGAGGAGTTGAAAAGGTTAGCAAGATAGGGGCAGAGGACGGGGAGGCAGGACTTCAGGAGAGGAGTGGGTAGAGGGTCAAGGGAGCAGGTTGTGGGATTTGAGGAACCGATCAGATGGAGTATTTCAAGTGGGGTCACCAGGTTGAACTGGGAGAGGCGGCGCTGGGGAGGAGGAGTCAGGAGATCAAGGGAGATGGGGGGAGAAGTGGTAGCGGTGGAGGTTGGTGGAGATGCTTGTATATCAGATGGAGCTGAGAAGGAGTGGTTAATGGCGTTCATTTTGTCTGCGAAAAACTGGAGGAATGAGCTGCAAGTAGCGGAAGTAGAAGTAGGGAGGTTATCAGCATGGGGTTTGAAAAGCTTGTTAACTGTGGAGAAGAGGGTCCTGGGGTTACGGGAGGGGTCAATGAAGATGTTGGAGAGGTAGGCAGATTTAGCGGCATTTAAGAGCATCTTTGTATGCATTGAGATGGAGTTTGTAGCTTATGTAATGGACTGTGAGGGATGATTTCTTTGAAAGACGTTCAAGTTGGCGGCCTCGCTGCTTCATTTTACGCAGTGCGGGTGTGAACCATGGTGAGAAGGTCTTGAAAGTAACAGTTTTATTTTTGAGGGGGGCTAAAGTGTTGAGGGAGGTGAGTAGGGTGGAGTTGAGGTGGTTGAGCAGATCATCAGGTGAGCTGAGGGTTGCGTCCAGGGGGAGATTAGATGATAGCAGTTCGGATAGATGGTTATGGTCAATGGAGTGTAGATTATGGAAGGTGATGTTTCTGGGTGGGTGGGGGGGGCAATGGTGAATTGTATGAGTTTGTGGTCGGAGAGGGGAAATGGGAAAGGGTGGAGGTCAATCACTGGGAGGTTGGTAGAGCAGACGAGATCAATAATGTGTCCTTTGTCATGGGTGGGGAAGGTGACATGTTGGGTGATAGAGAAATTGTCCAGTAGGGTTGTGAATTTGGATGCCAGCTTGCAGGTGGGTGAGTCAATGTGAATGTTGAG